CCAACTACGACCTCTCCGACCTCCATCGCCTGCTAACTACAATTCTACCGACCAAACCAATAGGCCAACAATCTCTTGAGAATTATTACTCTCATATCATTTTATATTTCCAACTCCCATCATATAATGTACTATGTAATCTTAATTAAAATAGTGGATTCATTTCAACTAGGCTAGGCCCCATGATTTTTATCCCTTTTTAGGGTTTCCCACATAAAAATTATGGTATCTCTTATGACTCTCATGCCCTTATCTCTTTATCTGTATGTGTGCTAGATCTTTGTTTGAAGCTAAGACATTAAGCTCTTTATCTCTCTGCCACCGCAAATTTTCCAGTATGCAACAATACTCATATATGTCTTTCTAGATATTCAATATATAGTCGATGGGTCATAGTAGATAGATTCGTATCTCGTGGACCCACAAGGGAATCACCACTCATAAGGATAGTCAATGATTCTCATAGACTAATTAACTCATCACTACCCCTATAACAAGGGATAGCCACCAAAGCCACTCACTATTATCTATGATTACATGTTCTCAACTATGCTTATCCTTTTAGCTACAAGGAAGTACTTTGGTTTCATTTTGTCCCATCATAGTCAAATGAACTTAGAGCTTATCATCTCGATAACTCAAACTTGCTTGGCTCCCTCTCGTAGGCAATCCAAAGCTCCAACATAGGTCGTTGATGGCTTTCAGACGCTTGCCAGTTACAATATCACTTGCCATATACTTGCCCATGTCTATTCACCCTTATGCATTCAAGACACCATTAAACTCATCATGAGACGGAAAAACAAGATTAAGAAAAAAAAATCAATCATCCATCTAGTTAAGAAGTGACACATGTCTAAAATAGTTTTTACTAAGATACTTCAATTCATGTATTTTTTTTTATTGATGTAGTACTTTTTTTAGCCCTCGTATTCCTATAAATAAAGGGCGGAGAGAAATATTTTTAATATTATCACATTTTTACTATAGATATTCAAGCTAGTAAATTATTTTCTACAAACTTTTCTCCTATCTTTCTCTCCATTGTCACATAGATTCTCAGGTTGCATCTTTAAAGCTCGCAAGTTAGTGATGTTGGGTATCACACACGGACAAATTTAAATCCATCATGAAGAATGCAAAAACATACATAAGCAAGTGAGAGAAATAAAAAAAAATCCAAAAATTTTGAGTGAATGAGCTTCTAAGGCTCCTCATTCATGGTTGTTGAATGATCACAAGGGACATCATCTGATTTAATATATTGGCAACCTTTACACACAATTTTTTGTTGATGTTTTCCAATATATGGAACCAATTCATATCACCATTTTCTGAGATTTTCTTTAATATTTCCTAAACTGAATGAGCTAAACAAGCTTGCATTATCTTATCTACATAAACATCATTAGTTGACTAAATATAAAGGGAATAAAGCTCCTTCACTTTCAACACAAGATCAGGTGAGCACAAAGAAACAAGGCAACATAATAATACATAATTATCTAGACTGTTTCCACTAAGAAAAGTAGTATAGGATTCCTTTAATAATAATGATAATAAGAGTACACATGTCTCTTCTTTGTGATTAATTATTATGTGCGGATGCCTAACGCCATCCATATATCAATCAGAATGCGTCATGTCACTTCTTCGTTGTGTACCAGGGCTCGATAACGCTGACGTGGTTGCACCTGATTCACCTCCAAACATAGAGCTGCGTCCGGCCTCTGCATAAAATAATTTCTCCTTCTTTGTATCTTTATTTCTTGCAATAAAATGAATTTTATGTATTTCTCTATGATTGAGTTGTTCTGTGTTTCCTTGAGTTTGATCACTTTTTGAGAGATTTGATTATTGGTATTTAGATTAAGGTTTCATTTGAGATAATTTTTTTACTGCTTTCTAAAATAATTTTTTAGTACACAAATTTTTAGTTTAAGAAAATTTTGTAAAAAAAATTACTTTAAAAAATAGTAAGAAAGCTGATCCAAATGAAGCCATTTTGTATTTCATCTTCCATTGATAATCTTAGTCTTTACAATAAAGACTTTAATACATTTATTGATTAATGAAAATCAAGTTATTTGTTAAGATCTCAACCTAAGAAGATATATAAAGATTAAGGTCAGACCCTGTAAGACCCCTTATTCTCAAGATAAATTATCTTGTCGATAGCTAAGCATCTGACTGAAATAATTATTATTTAATGATAATCTTCTAATAATGACACAATTTTTCTTAAAGGGGGTATTTTTACTTAGATTTTTAACTCACAAAAGATTTGTATTTTATTGTGTTTAAGCTTTTTTATATTTAATCTCAAAATATTTTTCAATAGTGAAAACTTGCATAGTGTGGGCTCTAATTCAATGAACTAGATGCCCGAAAACTTTGCCTAGTATATACCTAATCATGAAAGTTGTTCAAAAATTGAGTTTTTTAATGGAGATACGAGTCTGTGGCTTCATTTGAGATGATTTTTTTTACTGCGTCTTAAAACAGCTTTTTAGTAGGAAAATTAAAATTTTCATACTAGAAAGTTGCTCTGAGAAGCAATTAAAAAGTTGTCCCAAACAAAACCAAAATCTCAATTGCTTATAATGAGAGGAAGCCACCATACATCTGAGGTGGGAGTTGGGGATGGCATAAGTAACGCCCCACCCCCCTATAAAGGGCAAATTATTACGTGTGGTGTCCGGACCGTCCGGAAGCAAATCTGGATGCGCCACGTCACTCGGATGCACTGGGGTCGGGGTGACGTGGCTCGTCTGAATTCACCTCCGGACGAATTCGGACACCGGACGTAATAATTTGCCCACATAGAGGGATTAATTATTACGTCCGGACAAAAAACCGGAAATCCGAACGTATACTAAGCATACCGAGTGCTCAATACCGAGTTTTAGGTGACGTGACACATGTTTATTGGTCTCTAGACCCGTCAGGTGACCTGACGTAATAATTGCTCCTATAGAGGGGCTTTAATTTGACCTAATTCAATTCTATTTGCTAGATTGAGGCCCAAATGCTCATTAAATCTCATTTTCATTGTCTTATGGAATAATCATGACGAATTAGTCATTTTACTTATAAATTTCATAAAATTAAAATTTGCATTGTCCTTTAAATAATTTTGAATAAAATTTTAATCAAATTTTTTCTTTGATATTCTCTAATTCTTTGCTAAAAATGTGCTCTTATATATATATATATATATATATATATATATAACTCCTTTATTTATTTTATATGATAATTTGCTTATAAAAATTACTAACATCAAGCTTTCTTTTACCTACCATATATTCTCTAATCTTCTTTATTAACCTATTGAACCAAAAATTAATATCTAAATATGATTATTTCATTACTTCTTAAAAAACATATAGCAATTACATAATTACACATAAAACACAAATATAGGCCATTCCATAATATCATCTCATCTGTCAAAGGTTGGAACTTTTATTTGGTTCGGTTGACCGGATGCAGAGGAACATCCGGTTGTAGGCAAAATCCCGCCTATACCGAGAGGGAGAATGTCTTTAATAAATAGTTTTATTCTAAATATTTTTTATAAAAATATTATATATTGTTAAAAATTCAATTATTATATAAATTAGATTGTATGTATTTTAAATATATTTAATTTATATTATTATTTTATAATAGTTTTAGATTTTTAAAAGCATATATTACTGTTATGTCCAACAAACATCTATGCCCTATGTTTTCATAAATTGAAGTTGTGTATGGTGTACATGTATAAATACTTTCACAGTTGTCTTAACAAGCCTTGAGTTATAATCAAGACATGATGACACTTGCCTTTAAGAGAAGATCCTTTGGACTCTCATATAAACCAACCAGCTAGTTCGCTCGAAGTGAGGTGAGTCAAAGATGGTCCATCCGACAAATAGCTTGTCGCTCGCCTCCATCTCAGTCATAAGCTTACATCACAGAACCATAACCCCCTCATCTAAGCAAATCTAGAAGAAGGCTCTCACTTGGGAGCTTTTATTATGTACGGACACCGGACGAGAGAACCGTTCAGTTAAACATTGGACATCCAGCGGTACTGAGTGTGGGTACCGAGTTGGGTACCCACCAATGAGATGATGTGGAGCAATTTTATTGATCTCCGGATGCCCTCCGCATTCCACACCGAATAATAAACCCGCACTTGGGGCACCCTACTCGGCCCACAAGCGCTCACCACTACATCGATCTAATCTCGGCTTAGTCAATGCGCTCACTTGCTTTCCCATAACAATCCATGACTTAGCATAAAACCGCACCTCCATACCAGCCTTTTATTTATTTTATTTATTGTGAAAAAAATATTTTTAGAAAACTATTGTAAAAAATATATATTTTTAGAAAGCTGTTATGAGTATTATAAAACAATTTTCAAAATGTTCGAGAAAAGTTTTATTCTTACTCTAACAAATTTGATTATAAGAAAATAATTTCTCATAAAAAAATTTATTAGTGTAATAACTATATAAAAAATTATTATCCAACTTTTCAAATAAATAAATATTTAAATATCCACGTTAGCTTTCAAAAATTTTATTTTTTCCACACTAATTACACAGCTATTTTTAAACTAAGCTCAACCACCGCAGTCCGCAAACCACTCTCGACATTCTCATTTTTTTTTGTTTTCAATCACAATGAATAATGATAAAATTACAACATAAAAAGCTCAACATGTAGATAAATTATTATATGCGGAATCCAGACGAGAAGAATCATCCGAATTATGAGTATAAAATTAATACACACTGTCTACAAGTATAAATTTGTACATATTATATAAACTCACATATCTGATTCGGATTCCGCACATAATAATTTGGGTACCATGTAAAAGAAATAATTTCGCATAAGATATTTTAATGCAAAATAAAACATAAGGGGCCCTAAGAACTTTGAAAATTCACTTAGATTGATGATATATATTATATTATGAGTTGCATTAATCACAATATAAATTTTGAAAACTTTGAAACTTGTTTTGCATTATTATATTATGACATAATTTTGTTACACATAAAATGCAAAAGATATATGCAAAAGAGCACCCAATCTTTACAACTTACAATAGGCCAAATTTACGAGAAATTATTCTGTGCGTGATCTGGACGTAACTTGCCTCCGAACTCCAATCAAAATATGTCATATTATCTATGCAGAATTGTACATGATATATATAAAAGATGTGGTCAATTTTGATTGGAGTCTGGATGGTCCGGACTCGCCCAAAATAATTTCTCCAAATTTAAAGACCAAATCAACAACTATTTGGGCTGAGTGGCATCCCGTCCAACGCACGGCCGGATCTCCTTTTACGGTACTCCTTATTGTCCGTCGATGGCTCGATCACGTCGGCGGCGAACCTCACCTTCTTCTTTGTTCTGTTAATCTTCATCCCACCTGCAGATTTGATAAAATGAGAAAAGAACAGAGTACAGAAAACAGAGCATATAGAACAGAGTAGAGGAAGAAAGCAAAATGAAAATTTTTCTCCAGCTTCTATCCATGGCATGCAAGAATAGCAAAAAATGGACCGAAATGGCAAACTTGCAGTGGAAAGTATGCTAAAATTGCCGAAGAAAGGGGAATTTGTTTCGTTGAGCGGTTAGCTCCATGAAAGGAAATGCATTTTATTTGACAGAGGATGAGCAAAGAGAAAGAAATAGAGAAAAGAAAGAAGAAAAGCCTAAGGGCTAATATTGGGTGATGAGAATTTGAGATGAAGGAAATTATGATACATTTCTGAATCTGAAACAAATTATTTTGAATACATAATGAATCATTATTTTCTTTATTTCATTTCATTTGCCAAACTTTGCAGCCGGTGAAACAGAGCCTTGAAAGATCAAAGCAAAATCCAATTTGCCATTTTTTCAAATTACTTAGATAGCATCCGGGAAAGAAACGAGGAAATAAAGCGGGACAAGCGAAAAGATTGAAGCTTTCTGATAAAAAAAGAGGAAAGATCCATTAAAGGAGGAATCTTGTCCGGGAAGAAACAGGGGGGAAAACAAAATTTGCGGGAAAGAGAAAGAGAAGAAAAGAAAGAAAGACGAGAGAGAGAGAGGGATTGTTCTCCATACTTAGCTCAATTTCAAATTTCTTCATAAAATCGGAGGCGAGGCGCTTGTGGAGTTGGACGGCGAAGAGGGCGACGCTGCTCGAAATCGCTACCACTGCCATCATTCCCATGCATCCGGAGCTCTCCATCTCTCTCTATCTCTCTTCTCTTTGTTCTCTTCCTGGCTTTTTTTCAAGACCCTTGAGAGATGCAGAATTTATCGCAGGGGAGGGCAAGAAGAATTTGGACGGCGGAGAGGGAAATGCGGCGTAGACTGGAAAAAGAACGGTGGAAGGAACTCCCTATTTATTTTTCAGAAAAAATATATTTAAAAACATATTTTGAATTAAAATATATCCGTTTTTTAATCTCTGATTATTTATTTAAAGACCACCTTCAATTGTATAGAATTGAATATATTTTTAAATCATGCTTGAGAAAATTCTTAACAAATTTAAGCCATATTGGAATAGATCTTGAATCATATTTGACCCATATTTGATCTATATTCAAACAAGGCTATAACTCTTTTTGAACCCTATCAGATAAGTTCGAGCACGATTCAAATTGGGCTAGAACAAATTGAAGCAAAGTTCCATAATGGATTAAGATTTCGTTTGTGACAACTTTCTTACTTCTTCTTAAAGCAGTTTTTTTGTACACATACAAAAATTTTATACTAAAAAACTGCTTGATGAAACAGTAAAAAAGTCATCCTAAATAAAGCCTATATAGAATTCGAACATAACTTATTACAACAGAAGCAACATGATGCGTTCTCGTAATCGTAAGACAAAATTGATATGATTAAGAGTACAATCATAATAATTATAACATAATTGACTATAAGTAAAATACAATATAATGTAATTCAATAGATATCTTATCAAAGTGTAATTCAAGGATATAATACATTAAACATAACATAAACATTGCAATTCAAGTGCTGCCACACAACATTCATAATGCAATCCATGTAAATGAAGAATTTGACATTGGATTAAAGAAACAAACAATCTACTTAAATAGCTATAACACAAAGAATTAATAGTTGAAATAGAGGAAGTAATGTATATTGGATTGATGAAAGAGTAGATGAATAATCTTTTTGAATGGACTTATAGATCAAAATGAATAATCCCTATAAAAAGTATAGGACTAGATGTCACTAAATTTTATTTTTTTTTTGAAATTAAGTATATAATATTGCATTGCATGTACTTAAAATATTAATATAAATAAGATATAAAGCATTCATCATATTGTAGGTGTAAGCACTACTTCATTTACTTAAATCTTTATTAGAACTTAAAATTGCTTATCTTACTAAATGTAACACCATAAGGTCTAATTTTGGAAGAATTATATATTTATTTATTAAATAATCTATCATAATCACTAATATCTTTTAATTAATACAATAATCAGCCGAATTAACTATAAATATATTCATCCAAATAATCAATCATATTTATCCCTCAAAATTCATGTATAATAGCCAAGAGTTCAATTTATACATTTATGAGTATATATTTTATATCTTGACTATAGAAGAATAAAACTAAATAAAATACAAATAAAGTTTAACCTTAATGTCAGATCTATCCTCACTCTACTAGATTCTGATCCCTTCCTAAAAATATGTAAAATCACACAGTGAGCTAACAACTCAGTAGGTTACCAGAACCAACAACTTAGATTAAATCAAGGCATTAGAAATATAAGTATGTAACAATAAACAATTAATTGAGCAAAAACATATCGTATGATTAGTAAAAATCACTACAACTGTATATTTTAAAAGCAATGATTAGTAGCTAATAACCATATATAACGGAGGGGTCATTAAACTCTATAATTTATGTACCAATTAGTTATATAATAGTTTCTATCTATCTCACATCAGGAATTCTATATACATGTCATAATCATATGCATGTCTTACATTGTCGATGTTGTAACATGCTAGTGTCGTATATCATGTATGTTGTATAATATTTTTATATCATATATTCATATATCATGTACTTCATATAATTCATAATCAATGAATTATATATATCATATATTATTATATCATGCTTATCATATACATGTATCAGCTATATCTCATATCATATATAAATCATCTCATGTCATGGCATGTGATGTTGCTTATATAATCTATCGTATATGCTCCTATCATATGCATACGTAAGCAAGATAGGAAACATGCCTATGATGTTTTCCTAGATTTAGTTCTATAGGCCAATCTTACAAGAATCAGTCATATTACAAATCATTTATATCTAATGGCTTCCATATTATAATTTGTCACTTCTTGTCTATCGACATATCATATCATACACATATGCCTCCATATGTCTCCCTTTTACATCTTTTAGTATTATACCATAAATCTTATTTTAAAGAAAACCCCATCAGCCCACCCTATACAATGTAACATGTCTCCAACTAACCTAAATTAATCAATCATTTATAGCCAGCCCTTTTTACACACACACACACACATATATATATATATATTTCACAACATATAGAACATAATAAATAAGTGGTATTATGCTCAATGTTTAACTCATTGCATCAGTCTAGTGCATATAATATGTATATATGAATAATGACTTATGTCATTCATAAGAAAAATCAGTATTCTCATTTTTACATGAATAGACCACAACCGATGAATTATAGAAAGTATATATGTCATACACTAGTTTTATAAAGTTTTGATAATTATTTATCTAAAATTTTTAAATTAGAAAAAATTTTCTAAAATATGAAAATACCTAGTAAAAATTTAATATATTTATGTCAATATATGCAGAATGATTAAAACTATAATGTATTAAAAGTTATATGGTAGAAGTTTGTTAAAAATCAGGATATCACACTTAATTTTGTAAATTCTAACCAAATTAAAATTAAGAGAGCACAAAATAAGCAAAATCACTGAAATTAGAGTCAGGGTGATGATAGTATATCTTCAGATGAGCAAATTTTTCAATTGGGTCGATCAGCAAAAAATGGCTCTACTACCCTTAAATCCTAAGTTCTCCCTTCTCTCTCCTCTTTTCTTTCCTCAATTTTGATTTTTCATTTTCTTTTAAATGAAATAAGAAAGGAAAAATATGGCAATATTGATTACATGTAATTAATAAAGATTTTCTAATAAAACATCTTAAGGACGCATTGATAATTATGCCAATCGTTAAATTTTTAGCATAAAATTCTTATAAATACTTTTATATCTTTCAATTTGGTGCTCTAAAAATTATAGGAAAAGAATTAATAAAATAGTCCAACATATTTAGAAGACTTTGGTGAAATCAATTTGCAAAACGAACTTTTAATGGTTCAAAAAAAAATTCACTTACATTGATATGTGTCAATTTCTTATGGAATTAAAATTAAATAACAAACTTCGTATTTTCATATATATACTACCCATATATTTCGTGCAAGAGGGTGACCTAAAATTAACTCGAGTACTCACCCTCTTGCACGCAATAATCCCGCACTAGTACCTGCATTGATCCCTCCTACACTTACATCAACACCTGTACTGCACCTGCATTCTCACCCGCGCCTATGTTAGTGCCCACGATCACATGCATACGCTCACCACCTCACTCGCTGGCCCCGCTCTCTCCCCCTTTGCCCGCATGTGCTCGCGCCTGGCTGCATTACGGGTTAGCGGATTGGGTAAGGACAACTTAGGTTATGGTTAGGTCGATTTTAGGTTTGAATTTCAGACATGTTTGTCTAATCGGGACGAATCAATTGAAGGCAGATCAGTTTTGAGTTGGACATAAAAACCCATTTTGACACCCCTATCTGAACCTCATATACAGTAGTCCTCTTCTACTTCTAAATAATTTTGGATGAAAAAAAAAATCTTCTTACTATTAAATAACCCTAAAATATCGAGTAATTTAAAGGGGTGCTTACAAAATGAACTCATCATTGCATGAAAGATATGTGTTAAGAAGTAAAAGGAGTCAGAACAGTACACATAATGGCCTTTAACATCCAATATATTTTATTTCATTTCATTGAAAAAGAAATGAATTTTGCTTCCGAACATGATTTTAGTAACTTTACCTCCCCTTCTATTACATACATGTCGGCTTCTTCAATCCACTTGAATGAGTCTTTCCTCCTAAGCTTGTTATACTTTGATATTATTGATATGCATTATTGATTAAATAATTCATCCAATAAAAATGAATTGTGATCCTTAAGGGGCTGTTTGGTATCGGATTTACAGCGGGATTTA